TTCCAATATTTGAGGGGTGGCCGCCCCCCAAAGAAGAAGGGGGGGGGTGTCAACTTATTCTCCAAAGCATTTGAAAGCAGGACGAGAAGCAACGGATAGAAACAAGGAGAAAAAGCAACGTGGAATTAAGGAGAAATTTCCTAACGGGGAGAACAATGAAGAAGTGGAATGAAACGGTCCATGCTCCCATCACCGAAGGTCTTTAAGAAGAGACGGGCCTGCAATGATACAAGGGTTTCTTGCTTGATCGGGGTGGGGTGGGCTAGAAGACCTCCAAGGACCCTTCCAGCCGTGTTATTCTGTAGTAAATAAATCCACCGCCGCTATGAATCATAGTCATTGGGGGCAAGGGGCAGCCCGCAGCCCCCCCCCTGAATTAAAGGGTGGTGGGGGGGGTGTTTTGAAAACGACCCTGGGGTTACGACTGGTGCCTTCCCTGAGGAAGGGCGGTGGTGGTGCCAGGCGCCCCTCAGGCTGCTTCGGTTGTGTGAATGCCCCTGGGGGGCAATTAAGGGCGAGGAGGGGGGCCAGGAGGGGGAGATTTCCTCTCACTTGGGGGGGGGAAGAGAGAAATGATGGCTTTGCAGCAGCTGGCATTCACGGAGGCCCCAATCGTTCACCCATGGCTATCAAGGGAAGAGGGACACACACAAACACACACGCACAGAAAGAAAAACAGACACACACACAGCAAACAAAGGCTTTTCCTGTTGTTTATCCTCCTTTCTCTGCCTTCCACGCTGCCTGTCCTAGAAGTAGACATCACGTCATCCTTGCTATTTTTTTTCTCTTTTTCCTAGCCCCCCCCCCCCCCCCCTTCTAGGATTGGCCTCTCCTGCTCTTCCTGTGGCCAGGCCAGCGGTGGGCAGGCGGGCACGCCCGTGGAGGTGGGAAAGGATGGGCACAGCCACCAAGGAACCAGGAAGCTTGCAAATAAACTGGGATCAAGAGTTCGGGTCCGTCCGGAACTTCCTACTGTTTTTTTTTCTTTTTTTTTTTGCTTAAAGCCAGTTAGGAATACGAGGAGGAGGGAGGAGGAACTGCCAATGGAGAGGGTGGCAAAGCTCCCCCCCCACCCTCCAAAAAGGGCAGCTTTTCTCATGCGCCTTTAGGGTGCTTTTTTTTTTGCAAATCCAGGCACAATGGTTAGATAATGCCGATTTCTAAGAGGGGGAAAAAATGCTAGAAAGGAAGGATGAAGTGAAGGAGCGATTCTCTCTCTCTCTCTCTGTATCTTTCTAGGCCTGCAGGCCCAGGATGCGGGGGATGTTTGTGTAGGGCTGGTTGTGTGTGCGTGTGTATGTGTGCGTGTTGGTGTGGCGTTCCTCCCTATGTGTTTTTCTCAGCATCTCTCTCTCTCTCGCTCTCCCGCAGGAATCAGCCCTTTTGCAAAGATGCTCCGGAAAGATCCCTGGCTGCGGGGTTAGTAGATCCCACCCGCCAGGGCCCAACCAGCTGGTCGGAAAAGAGGGGACCGGGGCGCGGGGGGGGGGGAAGCAGTTTTGCAACGCCGCAAGGGCCTCCAGGGTGATTATTGAAAACGGGGGGGTGCGGGGGAGGAATCCGGGGATCTGCCAAGCCGCGATCGATGGAGGCAAGCCGAGAGGGATCCCCCGGGCTGAGCAGGGCCAGGGCCGAGGTTGCGACCAAGGAGAAGGGATGCCGGTCTGGAGGAGGGTGGGGGGGGCAAAGAAGCCCGCCGGGAGAGCCGGCCATGGCGCAGCGGCCTTTCTCCCCGGCTCACTCACCGAAGCTGGGGCGGACGCTGGCGATCTCGGCCATGGCAACCCGGCGGAGGAGCAGAAGCGGCGGGGCGAGGCGCTCCGGAGAGGCCCCCGAGGCGGCTGCGGTGCTTGGAGGATGCTTCTCAGGCTCCCAGAGCGATGCAGGAGCGGCCGACTGGTCCTGCGAGCGGCCTCGGCTCCGCCCCTTTCGAACGAAGCCCGCACAAGCGCCGCCCCCTTTCGAACGAAGCCCGGACAAGCGCCGCCCCCTTTCGAACGTTTTTTTTTCCCCTACAAACTAGGATCGCTTTTGCTTGCGCGTTGGAGACGCCTTGGAGAGTGACTGGGCGAACTGGTCGGGCGGTGGCTTATGGGTCTCTGCGGAGTTTTTTTGGGTATGTGTGTGTGTGTAACTAAGAGCCATTTTTTAAAAGAACTTTTTAATCTCTCCCCTCTTCCCTGCCCAACTTGGCTGGGTTACTTGGGGCTACGGCAAAACAAACAAACAAAAAAGCCCAGAATTAATCTTGAAATTGTTGCAGGACGCTACCGAAAGAGGAAGATTTGGCCTACCGGATTGGGAAAAATATATGATAGAGCGGCTGTTCTGACCTGGGTTAAAGATGGGAGAAGTGTTAAAAATAAAAGAATGTTAACCTTAGAAGGATATAATCTACAAGCAGGCTGGCGTGCCTTCTTGTGGTAAGACAAACAACAAATTCATAGCTATTTTCAAAGGCATAAAATTAGGCAGAGCCTACGAAATGTATGGAATAAAACTAAACGACAAATTTACGTTGAAATTTGTCGTGCATAAGCGCACCAACTTGCCTGCTGTCCCTGCCCTATTCTTTTTTTTTTCTTATTCGGATCCATTTCATGTATTCATAACTGTTTATACTTGTTTTCTTTTAATCGCTTGACAAAATAAATAAATAACTTGGCTATCTACATTAGAAGTGTTAATGTACCCACGTTTATTGCCGCGAGGGCAGGTTATTACATATGAGGACATACTAGGTGAGAAGGGTGATATAAAAACAAGACAGGAGTTGAAAGATCTGGGGTTTGAGATGGAATGGCGGGCCTATTTACAATTACAGTCGAGGTACAGTAAAGATATGAAAGAATGGGGTATTGGCAGATGGAAAACAGAATTAGACAATATTAGGTATGGATGAGAATTTGATTTAAAAAAACGTACAAAGTATTAGAATGCAAACTAGAAGAAGAAAAGGTGAAAGAAACTATGTTGGCCTGGATGAAAGACTTTGGATATGGTATAAATTTGGAAGATTGGCAAATTTTATGGGATAGGACTAGAAAAATAACTTTGGCGGCATCATATAAAGAAAACTTACACAAAAGGCTTTGTAATCCTTGAACTATGGGTTTTGTAGTACTGTTGCATTGGCGAACTAACCTGGGTTTTCCTTCTTTTAACATGCAAACCCAATACATCTAATCTTTTAAAAGAACTTTTTAATTTCTCCCCCTTCCCTCTCCAATTTGGCTGAGTTACTGAAGACTGTCCCCCCTCCTGTCCCCCAGCTCCAATTGGTTACTGAGGATTGTACTTGAATTATGGGCTTTGTAGTACCGTTGCACTGGCAAACTAACATAGGTTTTACCTTCTTTAACATGCAAACCAGATGCAAGTTTCGAATAAGACTATATTGGAAAGTGCAACATGTAAAAATAGATATTTCTCCCTATTGGAAAGAACGGCCCACTGGGAACCGATTTATAGATTGCCTTCTTTCCTCCTGGGCTCTAATGTATATAGTAAGCAGCCCTGCTAAGTTTTTAATTAAGGTAGCTGAGCTTAAGAACCCAATAAATTGAAGAAATTGGGGTACCCTGCAATGGGAGAGTCTCTTATCTGCTTGGTGCCTCCTTGTGGTATTAAATATGCATTTTATTACTGTATTGCCTTCCATTTGTTTTATCCTGGATCTGCATTATGTATTTTATTTTATTGATAAGGCTGCAAGACTAAACAATTAATGAAGCATTTTATTCTAATAGCCCTTGGGGGGGGGTTGCATTTAGTACAGAACATCTTTCATCTATTTTTTTTCCCATCCAGCTTTGTTTGGTTTTTAGGGCATTTTCTGACTTTGGGCCTTTTGTTTTTAGCTGCGAAGGATGGAAGCGTGGAGGGTCTTGCAGATGCTTTTAAGTAAATAAGGATAATCTCCCCGAGCTGAAAATCCTACATTTATTACGGCCCTATGTGGGGTTCAACGTTCAGCTGAGTCAAGAGCTCGAGGAAGATTTTTTACACGTCTTGAGGTCCGATATTTGTTTTAATTTGGGGCCATGCAAACAAATGGAATAATGAATCGGGCAGAAATGCAGCAAAAATAGTAATTGAAGCCCTGGAGTAATTAAAGAAAAATAATAAATGAATGGCATATTCAGATCATGGGTCGCATTAAGGGGAAAAAAAATCTTTGCATCCTAAAAGACCTGCGTTCGTGTTTAAAATGGAAAACCAAAACCTAAATAAACCGATTAATCCCAACAATATTAGAAAAGCAAGCTCGAAGAGAGCCTATGACGTCAGGGAGATAGCCCCACCCTTGGGTCACGTGGCCTTTCAAGGTCGGGAAAAACAATCCGCAAAAACCGGCCTTGCCAACAACCAACATGGCGGCCTTCGCTTCCTCCAGAAAGGCCCTTTCCACTTTAAAAAAACAAAAATCTCGCCCTTTTTAAATCCTGAAGGGGATTTCGCAAGACGGCGCCGACCGTTTTTAACTCTTCCCCGCTGCCCAACCCTCCTCGAACCCTCCGACAGCGTGAAATTTCCGCCGACCGCTCAGTTTCCCGCGGCCCGCACAAAACATGGCGGAATCGGAAGGCCCCCCCGCTCGGCGGCGCATGCGCGAGAGCGCCTTGTCGCCTTTGACTGACGTCACTTCTGCTTCTGGACGGATAAACGGAGGATGCCGCTCCGGATTGAGGGGGGGGGGGGGAAATGGCTGCAATGAGCCGCTGCAACCGTGGGGGGATCCCCGGGGAAGATGCTCGGTTAGTTTTTGTGGGGGGGGTGTCCGGTGGAGGTGGGGCCCGATATGGAAGGTCCAGAAGGCCTCGCCAGGCCCGGAACTCGCCTCCCGCATTTCGGGGTCACCCAACAAGCGATAACCACGACTCCCATCATCCCCAGCTCCAGCTTTGGCTGGGGTTTATGGGGGTCCCTTTCGTCTTTTTGCCAGCCCAGCGTCCTCTAATAGTGCAGGACTACAAAGCCCATCCTTAGGGGTCATGCCTCCCTCCCCGTTAGAGGAAACCTCCCCTAATCTGCTCCCCGTGGAGGGGGGCAAGACCCATAATCCCCAGCCACGCAAATCTGAGGGTGGTCAAGCCCCTCCACCATTTTTTTGTTTTAGGAGTTCAGGGTCACCTATATCCTCTTGCATTGATAAATAGTGTAATACGGGTAGCCCTCAGATTGCAACATTCCATTTAGTGACCGTTGGAAAGAAAGTGATTTATCGGCACATTTCACCCTTACGACGGCAACGACCATTGGGATTTACATTAGGACGCTTGGCAACTGACTTGTGTTTATGACGGCCCTGGGAGGGTCATGTGATTTCCTTTCCCCCCCCTTTTTTGCGACCTATCAAAGCCAACGGGGAAGCCGAATTCACTTAACAACCGTGTTGCCGACGTAACCACATGCCACGATTCACTTAACAACCGAGTCACTTAACTAAACCAGGAAAGGTTGTCAAAGGGGGGCAAAACTCACTTAATGGATAACCACAACGGGGAGCAGAATTTCTGTCGGTATCCAAGGCGGGTGGGAGGTGAGTCGCGACCGATTTTATGACTTTCTTTTTTTCCTGTGGTGGTTGAAATTCTCTGTCTTTTTTGGGTGGTCTTTCCAGCGCTCCGTCGAGAAGCCTTTAGCTGCCATGTCCTTCTCCCCCACCATGTTGCCATGCAAGAAGCGGAAAACCACCCGGATGGATTCCTTCTCCGAAGCCGAGGCGCTTCCGACAGAGGCGTCGTCGCCTTCAGGTGGGATCGACCAGCTTGGTGGTCACAAAGAGATTGACCCTCCTTTGACTGAAAGGGAGGAATCGATCATGTTATATTTGTGGACGGGCCTTTTTCTACCATCCTCGATTCTCTGGCGTCTGTAAGATCAGCCCTTTCCTCCAATGGAGACCACCTCAAATTTATTTACTGGCTAGATACCTTTGCTTCACTACAAAACTATTTGGTCGGGCTTTGTTTTTGTGGAGGAAAAGAACGGGGGGGGGGGGAATTCTGCCTCTGCCTACCAGCATCCATCGGTATTCATCTAGCGAGTGTCCTGTCGGTGTGTGTGAGAGAGTTGAGGGCTGTTTGGAAACTGAAGCAGTATTTACTGTGTGAGCAAGAAGGAGGCAGCAAGGAGCTTGGGCGTGGCTTAGCTCAACTGTTCTGTACTAAAGCTACTGAAACTGAAACTCCTCTGCTTGTGTTTTGCATTTGGAAGAGATTTCTTTCCAGGTGGGGAGGGGGAGTAGAACTCCTTAGCATTAGAGCGTGTTAATAATAATAGTATAGAAAATATTAATGCTCTGAGGGTCATTTGGAAAAATCCTTTCTTAGTGAGCCCCTAGAAGCCAAGAGGAACCTACGTGTCAAGTTTCTAGGCTTTACGGTTCTGGAGATTTTGTGATAATGTGTGTAGAGTCACTCATCTTGCAAAAAACAACGTTGGACAGCGGGCAGTAAATCGAATAAAACAGCAGCTGTAAAAATCCACCTTAAAAGATTTATTTATCGTGAAATTTCTTTGCCGCCCATTTTGTTTCAACAGCTGTAGAAAACCACATTAAAAGATTGATTGATTTTTCATGAAATTTCTTTGCTCCCTGTCTCATTTCAAAACAAGTCCGGGCAGGCTACAACGTAAAAACATTAAAATAGTCCAATATAAATATACCCAATAAAATCACAATATAAACAGAATAAAATCATTGATCCAAGATGAAGAAATGAGCAACCAGATGTATGAGGCAGGTACGTGGTGTTAGTTGTTAGGTAAGTAATAGAAGTTATAAAATTGTTATAAGGAGATAAATATTAGAAAACCAAATAAGAAACTCAAGGCAGAGAAGATAAGAATGGCCACCTTAGCAATTGAGCCACCTAAACATTTCTCTGGTTTCCCAGGAGTTCCAGGCCTGATAACATAAATAGACCTTGTGTTTATTTAGTATCTTTTTCCAATTTTACTTTTTAAAAATAATCAGATTAACGGGGTAGGAAAGTAGAGAAGCTTGGAAAATAACTTTGCGTTGGCTCAAAAATGCAAATTTCTCCTTCTGAAACACGAGTCAGTTCCTCCTTAGTTTAGGATGCAAAGTTTGACTTGCGACTCTTCTGAATAAAATAAAATAAATGGTATTTTCGCTGTTTTTTCCCAGAGATGGAACAGGAAGAAGGAGAAGTTTCCCCAACTGTGAAATCCCTAGGGGACACGCAAAGGATCGAGCCCCTTCAAGAAGCGAAGGAGGAAGCTGAGGAAACGAGACTTTTTATTTCAGTGGGTGAGTAACAAACAGGCCAAATACCCCAATATTTTTGTAACTGGAGTAGATTTATATATATGGAATGCACTTTCGATTTCCAAGCTGCTGCACTGCTCCTTCCCCCCTCCCTTTCTGTTGGTAACTCTAAAAATACCATAGAAATATTTCCATAGAAATGGAAGGCAGGTTAGCAGCCATTATTTTTCCTGACCACAGTTGTGCTTAACGTTTCTGTTGCTAAATGAGTTTGCCATCTTTTTCCCCTTGTTTTCAGACGAACGAGAAGGAGGGAAGAAGCCCAGGCGGAAGGGAGTTAAAAGGCAGTGGGAAGGGAAGTCACCTGAGGAAGACGAAGGAGGAGAAGGAGGAGGAGGAGGAGGAAGGAAGTTAGCTTGTGACCTCAAATTGGACGAAACCTTGGACCGCACGCTGGAAGACGGGGCGAAGCAGCACAATTTAACAGCCGTCAACGTACGCAACATCCTTCATGTAAGTATGGAACACAGCCGACGGGACGGGTCAGTCCATAAACAGACAGTCCTCGACTTAATGATTCGTTTAGGGACCGAAGTTAGAACAGCCCCGGGGGGCGGTGAAGGAGTTAATACAGGTAGTCCTCAGCTTACAACAGTTCGTTCAAAGTTACAACTGAAAAACGACCGTTGTTTTTTTTCACGCTTCACGGCCGTTGCATCTTGGCGTGATCAAAATTCAGACGCTTGTCAGCTGACTCACATTTACGACGGTCGCAGCGTTCCCCGGGGTGTGTGTGTGTGTGTGCGTGTCACGCGATTCCTTTTTTGTGACCTCCTGACGAGCAAAGAACATTCTTTCCTCCCGCTAGGAAGTCATCACCAACGAGCACGTGGTGGCTATGATGAAAGCAGCCATCAGCGAGACGGAAGACGCCCCGGTCTTTGTGAGTCTGGTGAAGAGAAGGAAGGAGGGAGGGAGGGAGGGGGCAGTTTTTGAGATGGACCCTGCTGTGGATCCGGCAGGGGAAAATAGATCTGGCAGGTTTAATCTTAATTAAATTTTAAACAAAATTCTCCCCATCTCTTTCTGTCTCTCTTCTGCCTTTCTCTTTGTCTCTTTTTCTCTCTTTCCCTCCCTTTTTCTTCTCCGTTTTTCTCTTTCTCTTTTTCTCTCTCATTCTTTCTCTTTTTCTTTCTCTCCCTCTTCTTTCTCTTTTTCTCTCTCTATTTCTCTTTTTTCCCTTGTTCTTTCTCTTTTTCTTTCTCTTTTCTCTCCCTCTGTCTCTTTCGCTCTTTCTCTATTTTTCTCTCTCTCTTACTCTCTTTTTCTCTCTCTCTCTTTCTCCCTTTCTCTTTTTGACCTCCCTCTTTCTCTATTTCTCTCTCTCTCTTACTCTTCCCCTTTCTCTCCCACTTCTCCTTTCTCTCTTTTTTCTCTCTTTCTCTTTTTTCTCTTGTTCTTTCTCTTTTTCTCTTTCTCTTTTCTTTCCCCCGTCTCTTTCGCTCTTTCTCCATTTCTCTCTCTCTCTCTTTGTTATTCTTTCTCCCTCTTTTCTCTCTCTCTCTCACTCCTTTTCTATTTCTCACTGTCTCTCTCTTACTCTCTTTCCCCCTTTCTCTTTCTCTCACACTTCTCCTTTCTCTCTTTTTTCTCTATTTCTCTTTTTTCTCTCGTTCTTTATCTTTTTCTCTTTCTCTTTTCTTTCCCCCGTCTCTTTCGCTCTTTCTCCATTTCTCTCTCTCTCTTTCTGTTATTCTTTCTCTCTCGCTTTCTCCCTCTTTTTTCTCCCCCCCCCCTCTCTCCTCTATTTCTCTCTGTCTCTCTCTTTCTCCCTTGCTCTTTCTCTCACTCTTTTTCCGTCTTTCTCTCTGTGTCTCTCTCTTTCCTTCCCCCTCTCTCTCTTTTCCCCCAATTCAGGAGCCCAAAATGACACGATCCAAGCTGAAAGAAGTCGTAGAGAAAGGTGTGGTAAGTAAAACTTAATAGTAGTACAGCTCATTCGTTCGTACCTGTCCCTAAATTGTGGGGTTTTAAAATATTGATTTCTAATCCCGCTTGTATTATTTTTATAAACAATTCAAAGTGGTGAACACAAACAATATCCCTTCCTCCTCCTTATTTTCCCTCATGACAGCAACCCTGTGAGTTGTGTTGGGCTGAGAGAGGGGAATTGGCCCAAAGTTACTCAGCCGGCTTTCATGACTAAGGCAGAACTAGAACTCACCGCCTCTCCTTTTCTAGCCTGGTGCCTGCACCAAAGTGGCTTATTTTTATTTTATTTATGGGTATTATTTATTTATGAATATTCCCCCTGTTTGCTGAAACAGCATGGGTCAACGTAGGGCTGTTTTCAGAAAGTTCTAATTATAAACAAATGCAAGCATGCAGGTATGAATGAATGAATGGGTAGAATTCATGTCCTTCCCAATTTTTTTTCTATTTGATGGCAGAGGTGCCAATCTTTCTTGTTTTCTCCTCAGGTAATTCCAACCTGGAACATTTCTCCCATCAAGAAAGCCAATGAACTCAAGGTCAGTCCTCTTGGGATTTTGATAATATGCTCTGGCAAGACTTTCGTTGTTCTTTTATGTTGGGAATTAGAGGCCCATCAAAATCTGAAATATACACACTTTTGCTGCGCTTGGGAGGGATTGGTTAGCAAATTTCTTTATCTGTGGAGTCCTTGGTGCTCTCCGAGCTCGGTGGTTTTCTTGCAGACGTTTCATGACCCAGCTATGTCACATCATCAGTGCCAGAGGAGAGTTGGGTTTGGGGAAGGAGAGAGGAAAAGGTGAGGAGGGCTGTGACGTCCTTGGTGCTCTCTGAGCTCGGTGGTTTTATTCCAGACATTTCACCACCCAGCTAGGTAACCTCATCAGCGCTAGAAGGAAGGGGGTTTTGCAGAGTGGAGGAGAATAACAAGGGGAGGAGTCGAACCACCATCCTTGGTGCCCTCCTGAGCTGGATTGCTTTCCTTGCAGACCTCTCACGACCCAGCTAGGAAACGTCACCAGTGCTAGAAAAAACCACCCAGCTCGGAGATCACCAAGGAGCCCTAAGCTACCAAGAGCCTCTTCCATAAACTCAAAAAGTTTAAGTTTTGCAGGATGGAAAACTTGAAAGATTAAATTAAATTCTCCCTCTGTGATGACCCGGAGTGTAACACAAATGTAACAAAATGGAAAACGTAAATAAATGTCCTTTAATGCCTTCAACTTGGCCCTCGCTGTTCAGTAATTCTCAGTTGGAGATAAAACTTACTTAAAAACAGTCTTCAGAAGAAAGCAATACAGTCTAAACTTAATGAGCAGGTAGAGGTGAAAAAAAAAAAAGAAACTACAATGAAGGAATTTCCACAACGGACGAGGATAGGTAGTTACCAACTTCAAGGAGATAACAAGGAGTAGTCTTTTGGAAGGGCACCAACCAAGATAACCTCGGCCCAAAATAAAACACGCTTTGCTTCTGGCAACGATGTGTTTTAACCGTCTCTCTTATATACTAGTCTCCCCAGCTGCAACCAATGAGGGGGATCATGGCCGCTTCCTCTCCCGTAAGCCAGCTTGCTCCCTTCTCCGTTCCTCCCTGTGTGTCCTAGGATGGAGAGGGGGTGGCCCTGGTTCTTCCTCTTGACTACCCAGCCGGCCTCTGCCCTTCCCCAACCTCCGAAGCCACTGTGGCTCTCAAGAGTCCAACTCTACCAAGGGCATGACGCCCTTTCCGGCTTGCCTTGGTTCAACCAATCCATGGAAGCTCCTTTCCCGCTCATTTTCTCTCTCTCTCTCTCGCTGAAAACTCACTTGTCTGCCCTTGTTCCTTTTCCTTGCCCTCCCACCCCCCACTTTCCCGTCACTGCAGCCACCTCAGTTCGTGGATATCCCTCTTGAAGAGGACGATTCTTCCGATGAGGAGTACCAGCCGGAAGAGGACGAGGAAGACGAAACGGCGGAGGAGGTAACACTTTGCAAGCGGGAAGCAGAAAAAATAAAATAAAAAAAACCTCCTTCCATGCAGATGTCTAGCATGTCAGGGAATAGAACTAGATTTCTGCTGGAGGGGATTGGGTTTTTTTTAAAAAAAAAAATAGTGGGATTTTTTTTTTCTAATCTGTAATCAAAATATACCGTATGTATTGCATGGAGAAGCCCATCGGTTGGATGAGCTAAACCATGCCATCTTTCCATTGAAAGCACCATGAAAAATATGGTCTCCCGCCAGGAAGCTGACGCCCGAGAGTTTTCAGGCTTTTGACTTTTCAGAAACGGGCGAAATCCGCGTGATATTTGGATTAAAATTTTGATGGCCTGTTTATCCAGAGAGGGGTTCCTTTGCACGTATTCCCTGCTGACTGCCGACTGCCTGCAATTTGGCAGTTCGAATCTCACCGGGCTCCAGGTCGACTCAGCCTCCCGTCCTTCCGAGGTCGCTAAAATGAGGACCCAGATTGTTGGGGGCTGGAGGCTGACTCTGTCAACCGCTTTGAGGGGGCTGGAAAGCACTGGAAAGCGGTATATAAGTCTAAGTACTACTGCTTAGATTCCTTCCTTCCTTCCTTCCTTCCTTCCTTCTCCATCACTGGAGGTTTTTAAGAAGAGACTGGACAGCCAGTTCTCTTGAAATAGGATAGGGTTTGCTGCTGGAGCAGAGGGTTGGACTAGAAGACCTCAGATATCCCTTCCAACTGTTATTATGTCTCTCTCTGTCTCTCTCTCTCTTTCTCTCTCTCTCTCTTTTTCTCTCTATGTCTTTGTCTCTCTCTTTCTCTCCCTCTTTTTCTCTCCCTGTGTCTTTCTCTCTCTGTCTCTCTTGTCTCTTTCTCTCTCGTCTCTTTCTCTTTCTCTCTCTCTCTCTGTGTTCCTTTCTCTTTGTCTCTGTCTCTGTCTCTCTCTTTCTCTGTCTTTCTCTTTTTCTCTCTGTCTCTTTCTCTCTCTCTCTCTTTTTCTCTCTCTGTCTCTTTCTCTCCCTCTTTTTCTCTCCCTGTGTCTTTCTCTCTCTGTCTCTCTTGTCTCTTTCTCTCTCTCTTTCTCTTTCTCTCTCTCTCTGTGTTCCTTTCTCTTTGTCTCTGTCTCTGTCTCTCTCTGTCTCTGTCTCTCTCTCACACACACACACACACACACACTCCGTGTGATTTCCTTTCCTGGTGCTTCTTCCGCCCCCACCCAGAGTTTATTGGAAAGCGATGTGGAAAGCAACACCTCCTCCCCTTGGGGGACCAAGCGCTCCCTTTCCCGACAGTCGGATATGGTGGAGACGGACGAGGAAGGAGTGGCCCCCTTGGAGGTAAGAGGGGAGGGGGGGGGTATCTCTGCTTCCTCAACCCCCCCCGCTTTCCTCCCAACATGCTTGCTCTGGCGGTTTGGCTAATCCATTCCATCGTTAAGTGAATCAGGCAGTCCTTAAGTGAACGCAAGCTCCCCCCCCTCCTCCAATCGGCTGGAAAAGTCGTAAATGGCGATCACGTGAGCCCCCGGGGATGCGGCCACCGTTGTCAGTGCGAAACGCGGCCGCGAAATCGTTTTTTTTCTCCAGCGCCGTTGTAACCTTGAGCGGTCCGTAAGGGAACCCCTTGTAAGTCGCGGAGTACGTCATAGAATACGCAGCTGGTCCTTGACTTCATTTAGCGACCGTTCAAAGTTACAACGATGGCCCTGGGGACAAAAAGCGACTTAACGGCTGCGTTTCACACACAGACACCGGCGGCCACATCCCAGTGATTCCCCCCCACACACACACACACTTTTTGCGACATTCGGACAAGCCGAGTCAAGGGGACGGAACCAGATTCACTTAACCGCCGTGTTTCTAATTGAAGCGATTCCCTTAACGCAATGGGTCGAGAACAGCCGTAAAATGGGGACAGGCTCCCTTCAACGAACATCTCTTGAATCAACTTAAATTTCACACACACCCCAAATTGCGGTCGTAAGCCAAGGACTCCCCCGTAAGGAATTAGCCGAAACCTTGGAAGGACTCGGGAGGTGGTTCTCGGTGCTGAAGCCGTCCCGGTTTTCCCTCCTCCCAGGCCGAGAAGGGTTCAAGCCCTCCTGCCCCGCGACACGTCCGTGCCGAGGTCATCCCCATGGGCCCGCCACCACCGCCCCCCAAGCTGAAGCAAAACAAGGACAGCGTGTTCATGGAGAAGCTCCACGCTGTGGACGAGGAACTGGCCTCCAGCCCCGTCTGCATGGACGCCTATCAGGTTTGTGGCGGTCGTTAGTTGCGAAGTTGGCGTCCAACCCCATCGCGACCTCACGGGTCACGTTCGTCCGGGCCTTCCTTGACCTCTGCCAAAGGGATAGGTGATGTAATTGGCGGAAAAGCAAAGCGCCAACCCCAGAAGATAATAAAAAAGCCATCTCTACAGCTTAACCTTCTGGTGTGCTCTGCTCTGGTCATGCCCACCTCGGACACCATTTTGTGAGGGTGCCCACAACAGGCGTTGAACATTCCTGGGGGGGCTCCCCAATATTTTTGTGATCCACCTGGCCGTATCCACATTGAGGGCACAAACAATGTGTCATGCCCCTGTTGGAGACTGACTCCGAGGGAGAGGAGGAATAGCCAACGGGGAGTGGAAGTGTGGCTCCGCAGGTTGTGGAGGAGGCTGGGGAAGGGCAGAGGCCGGCTGGGCAGTCAGTGGAAGACCCAGGGCCACCCCCTCTTCCTCCTAGGACACAGAGGAACAGAGGAGGGAACAACCTGGCTTATGGGAGAGGAAGCGGCCATGATCATCCTCATGGGTTGCAGCTGGGGAGACTAGTATATAAAAGAGATGATTACACCACAGCGTTGCTAGAAGCAAAGCGTGTGTTATTTCTGGCTGAGGTTCTTCTTGATTGGCGTTCCTCCAAAGGGCTGTGCCTTCTTGAAATTTGTAATTTAATTATCCTGGTAGGATTAGAACTCCCCATCTCCTGGTGATCGGCCTAAAATTACTCAGCCAGTTTTTACAGCTAAGGTGGGACTAGAACTCCCAGCCTCTTGATGATTGTCCAAAAGGTCAACCGTCTGTCTTCCCTACCTAAAGCGGCTTTAGAACTCCAGATCCTTTGGTGGCTATTCGCTGCGAATGGGAAACGCTTCCGTTGCCAGGAATTCTGGTCACCGCATCTTTTTTTTTCACCGCGATAAATCTCGTTAAAGAAGACCGCGGGATTCTTCTCGCGAGAACCTCTTCCAACGTGAGACCCTCCCTTTCCTTCCCAGCCTTTGGAAGACAGCTTAATTGCCTTACGCACCCGTTCCAAGAGACCCCTGAAGGACGTGCCCCTCGGTCAGCTGGAGGCCGAGCTTCGGGCTCCGGACATCACTCCGGACATGTACGACCCCAACACGGCGGACGACGAAGAGTGGAAGCGATGGCTGAGCGGCCTGATGAACGACGACGTGGAAAACGAAGGCAAGCAACCCGAAAGGGTTGATTTTGGGGGGGGGTTTACTGATTAGGCTGGCTTGTTTTAACAGGAATGGCTAGTTTTGCATGATTCTGGAAAAAGTAAAAAGTTAAGATTCAACGTCTGTAGAGCTTCTCCGTCATCCAAGCCTCACGGTAGGTCAAAGGTGCTTTTGTTTAGGAGGCAACTGACTTTATTTTCCCCCTCTTCCAGACGAAGCTGATGATGACGATGACCCCGAATATAATTTTTTGGAAGATCTGGATGAACCGGACACGGAAGACTTCAGGAACGACCGTGCCGTGAGAATCACAAGTATGTTCCCCCTGGTCTACGGCTAGTCCTCGAGGTACGACTGCAGCAGACTGGAGTGGCAGTAAGCCATTGCAGTCATATGTCGAGACACCACATGACCAGCAGGCAACAGAATTAATGTGTGCTAGTGTGGCCACATTAAAAGATGACAACATGTCTGTCTATCTCTTCTATTTCTTCTATCTGTTTATCACTTTTGTCTATCTATCTCTTCTATCTATCTGTCTCTCTATCTCTTGTATCTATTTATCTATCTCTTCTATCTGTTAGTCTCTATCTATCTATCTATTTCTACATCATCCATATCTGTATCTATCTTTTTGTCATTCTATATCTCTATTTCTACATCATCCTTATGTATATCATTCTATCAATCATCTATCTATCATCTCTGTCTCTCATTCAATTATATATCTGTCATCTTCCCTCCTTCCCATCTTCCATCTATCTGTCTCTCTGTCTCTCTGTCTCTCTCTCTCTCTCTCTCTCTCTCTCTCTCTCTCTCCATCATATTCTATCAGTTATCTTCTATCATGTCTATCTGTCTCTATCATCTGTCATTTTCCTCCCTCCCATCTTCCATCTATCTATTTATCTATCTATCCCTTCTGTCTGTCTGTCTATCATCTCTCTCTCTCTCTCTCTCTCTATCTTTCTAATCTATCTATCTAATCAATCTATCTATCTATCTAATCCATCTATATCTATCTATCTGTCTGTCTGTCTGTCTATCATGTCTGTCTATCTATCTATCTATCTATCTATCTATCTATCTATCTATCTATCTATCTATCTATCTATCTAGTCTGTCGGTCAGTCTGTCTATCTATCTATCTATCTATCTATCTATCTATCTATCTATCTATCT